AACTTAGGTGTCACTACGTCGTCCACTCACGCAAATGTGCTGGAATGCGAAAGCATGGACATGCATTTGTACTCCCAGTCACTTGATGGTGAAGCCTCCTCGGATGGGGACGTCTGGAATTGAATCGCTGGGCAGACAGATCAACCACCACCTGATCAACTCTACCAGTGGTGGCGGAATGGCCCAAGTGATTAGAGCACGAATTTACTGACCGAAAGGCCCGTGGTTCGAACCCGACCTCTGCCTCTCGACTTCTCCTGTCTAGGCTTGGGCAACCTGACAGTATTCCAGCCTTTGTGCTCCCTTCTAGTTTCATGGCAGTTAGGCACCAAAAGGGTGCTACAGCTGAACGGTAGCAACTCTAGCAGTGCATTCATCCCAGCTACAAGCACTCCAACATAGTGCCAACACAAAATAAATCTGCCTACTTGAGGGAATATTACCCAAAAGATCGATGAAAACACTCCAGTAACCCAAGACTGAAATCACCCTTCTTAAGGCTGATCAGGCTGCGGGTGCAGTTCACGAGTTTCCATCAAACTAACGTTCCACTTGAAAATAAATTGTACGGAAATCACATGAATTCATTTTTAACGCGGGATCCGACTGATTACCAGATGAATTTCTCGTTTATATCATTCAACCGAATGTGCCCCACAAAGTCTCTTCCTGAACTTTCCTGGATGTTCATTGACTGCTACTCGATTGCAAGCACATGCCACAGAGCGACTTCACAAACTACGTAATAGATCTCACTTTTCAAGAGACGAAAAGCAGATTTACCAGAAAACATACTACTCGCATGCCCCTACATCAGTAGTATCACCGTTACACTGTTAGTGAACAGGTTATGATGGCCAGAAGGTATATGCACTAATAACAGTTTTTACTAAGGTTGACAGTGATTTACACTGGCGGGTTGCACCATGTAGGAAATAAATGCAATGCGAAAGGTGGAGCAAGTCAAAAGAGGAATTTGTTGTTCGTGAGTTCCTTGGTGAAAGTCCAGACGGGGAAACGTGTCCTCTCCACAGCAGAGATGCTACATGTGCTCAGGCTTGCGTCCTGTGGGCGCGTGTAGGCGTGCGCTTCTTATATATAGGAAGGTTTGACGTGCGTATAATACCCAGAATCGTTCCGACGAATACAAGACGGGAAATGACTTGTCGGTTTAGACTGCGAACGGGGCATGGCTTGCGTGATTTTTGTGTTTGAGGGACACAGTGAGGACGGAACTACTAAACAAATTAGGCGAAGTTGGCCAATGGGACGACAAAGTGACCGCTACACTACATTGTTTGTGACCAGCTGCCTTGTTGCCACCCTGCAGGACCGCAAAACCGATGAGAAATTCGAATGGAGGTATATAAGGACGACATTTGAGCAAGGATACTTTTCTGAAAATTGAGTGGGACGAAGTTTGATGCATTCGACAATGTTCGGGTGTGTTTATCAGACTTCATGACAATATGAGAAATCCACTCTAGTAGTGCTTACTTACTAAATTTACCAGTAGTGTAAACTATTTGCACTAAATGAAGGAGTCCTGAAGGCAGCGTTCTACATGCAAGACCAAGCTAAGCAGTCAATAAATTACGGATTCATTCAGGATCTGATTTCACATTTCACCAAGTCTATTCCACTACTACAGACTCGGTTTTTGAGTCAAGTAACTGGTTTAGGGTAGGTTTCCTAGTTATACAGAACCGTCAGGCACCGAATTGCTACAGAGTAACTAGGATATAAATCTCTCGTCTCATTCCCTTAGCTCACTGTTCGCTAATTCTCGTATGGTCGAGCTAGAAGTCTGGGATACTGGGGGAAATTTCAGACAGGTAGTGTCTCCACCCAGTTGCCCTTTTCCGGACAACTGTTACTATTATCATTAACTATCTATCCATTATAAGTATCATTATTATTGGTGTAGGGAGGAAAACTCTTCACCACGAAGCCGCAGCAAACAGTCACAAGCTGTTGGGCAGGGAAATAAACGTCTCATACGTACGTAGTTTTTAAAAACTGAACATCCTCACTCGTCTTTTTGAAATTTCACGGATATTTATTGACTATCGCGCAATTGTAAAACGAACCATGCATGGCAGTTCCACAAACTTCGTAACAAACCTCACCTTCCATTACACGCAAGGCGGAGCTTTTTGAAAACCACATACTACTCGCATGCCCAATCAGTAGTATCCATCGGCACAGTAGTAGCATTCAGCGAGTGACTTAATACTGGCGTGTCGACAAATACTATCCCCAACTTCTAGAACATTTTTTACTAGAATTCCTCATTTCGTTTACCTGAGCGCAGACTGTTTGATCCCAGTCATTAGGTAGAAAGTGCTTTGTAGTACGTCGCCTCCTTAACCTGATGTTCCCACGTGGAGATCGATCAGCGCATGAGTGAGCCAAACCACATATGTACTCCAACGTTATTTTGACTGGTCCAAAAGTACATAGGTCGTATGACCTCATCGATAGTTGAACCACAACACACAAGATAATCGAATAAACGGCTACCTGACGTGTAAGGACTTGATACACTTGAGCGTGCTGAGGACGAATGAAACTTCAGAGGGGTATGATCTTTATTGATAAGTAAATGTCGTGAGTATAGTTGCCTTGGAGAAACTGGCTGATAATAACAGAGTTCAAATGTAGAATATGGTGCATCGCAAAAATTTTTGGTGTGTTGACTGATCTGAGGGAATCATGGATCCAGATGGAGATCACTATGTTCTGTTTGCAGACAAAAATATGTCAAGTAGTGATGTTCAAATAAACGCGAAGGAAATATCGTTTTTAGTAAAATTTGAACAGAGTAAGCAGTTTGCTGATGGCTTCGATGTATGGCGTGGTCGCTAACCAGAATAAAGCCAGTGAAAACACACGCTACTCGTGTAACTGTGGATACTACTGATGGGACATGCGAGTAGTATGTTTCTCGTAAATCCGCTTCGCGTCTCTTGAAAAGTGGGATCTATTACGGAATTTGCACAGCCACTTTGTAACATTTGATTATACTTGAGTGACAGTCAATGAATATCCAGGAAAGTTCAGGAAGACGCGTTCAAGGAGAAAATGTATATTCAGTTTTTGTAAACAAGATGCATATGAGAGTATCGCTTCCCTGTCCAATAGTCTGTAACTGTTCACTTGATGTTTTCTAATAAACAGCATCGCAGTGGAGGCCCTCACTCGTAGAAGTTGACACAGGCCAAACTTACATATGATGCTAGCAGCGTGCAAGTTTCCCAACGCAGTGGATATAAGGTCGCTGATGTGAGTACAGCTCAGCACTATGTCTCTCAAGTACTTGTATGGTCCGTTTTTCGACTTGATTGCTTGACACGACGGACGTGTTTTTGCTTGTCTATGTTCATCTGGTGTTACCTGGTCAATCTACGACGCTTGTAATCTAGTCATCCACAGTGACCAGTTTGGATGTGTAGCCACATCTTGGTTTTCAGTCCAACTGGCTTCCTCACTCTCATGCGTATGTCCTGTGTGTACAATCCTCGGAAAAAATACCTGAAACTCTTCCAGGTGGCTTGCTTTATATGACAAAGGCCAATGTGTGAACTGTCCTCAGTTGTGACGCCATCAGTCTTCCTGTTCTTCGGGATACAGTTCATTTGGCTGAATCTGAGGGGATTTGAAGCCTTTACGAGCCAGTGATAAACTGAACAGACATGTGCTAGGACTATTGACATGATGGATCCACTAAGAATGCACCTGGCAATCATCTGCTGGGACGTGGCGTAACGCAATGAAAAGTAGTAGGCAGCAGACACGCATGTGGGGGAAAGGGCTCCCCAGATACGACGTTGGCTGTTACGATATCAAGAATAAATCCGGTACTACTCGTCGGATGATAAGGCAGATACATGGTGTTTGAGAAAATCGACGCTCTCCGAGTTACCTTCGAACTATATTCAACGCTGTTTGAGAGACAGAACGTATGAGAACAGACCAAGAATTACCAAGTGAACTTAAGGGTTAAATGCTGCGGAGGGAGGGACGTTTCAAGCGGCAGACCGGACTTACTCACTGCCCCATCAGTATTACACAAGTCACACCATTAGCCAAGCTACGATTCTCTCCAACGTCAGCTGAACAGCTGTAGTTCCTGTTGAGGTCACATGGAATTCCGTAGCTCAACCATGTGCTTGGTTCCCACGCAACACTGCCCAAATGGATCCCCTTGAAAACTCTCTGCTATCTTGTGAATCTGGGAAGCAGCAGATTCCACTTCGGCTGTAGAAGATGAAAGATACCAGACTAAGCCTTGTAGATTATTAACCTGTCGTCCTTCCAATTGATTCGTGTTTTTCCCGTCCACACTCCGCGTTCCACATGCGTCACAGTTGCTCATGGGCTGTTGTGGTCACAGACTGACCAACGCGCTGGCTGTCTCCGGTGACTATTCGCTGCCCGGGGAGACGTCGATATTTACGACAATTTTTCCCGGGGCAAAAGATACATGGATCGAGCAGGAACCGTGTTCGTTTTGAGAGAATGCAACCAGTGAATTAGCTGGCGCTCTCGTCCAAGCGGCGATTCTGCTGTGCTATCGTCGTGTATTTTTCCCGCGAACCTGTCATTCATTTTTCACAAATGACACCCCGTCCGACACTGGTACACTAACGTACGAATGTGTATATCCCTGACCTACTAACCCACACACGCTCGCACCCCGTTTGCTGGACTTGCTCCGACCCGTTCAGTCGCGATATGCGCGTGATCGCACTGCTAATCAGAATCACGAGACTGGCCTTGAAGAGACGACCGTGACCTATAATACCGAGCCAGTATTCCGGTCGCAGTTGTGTGGTGTGCGGATCATGATACCACACTGTCTCGGTCAGTGACTTGTGCAGTCTCAAAAATGGACAACTGAGTTATGCTATGTAATTTAGCTTACCTTTGTATAAGATTCTTGAACCCTATTCTTCCTTTCGATATCCGGGATCGTTGAACCTACGCGTGACTCAAACTTACGTATCCGAGACCTCAACACGGTTATTGTCGCTTTTCATGTCCAAGATGTAGCAATTTCGGTTCATGACGCCCAATTTTAAACCCAAGCCTGCTGCGTAAGCCATCAAAAACATTCTCAGTTGCTTTGTACACTCAATTATGCTGTTTGCTACACGTCAGTAGTATGCATTAATTAATTAGTTAACTAACTAATTATTACTAATTTGTTTCAATATTTGGTTTATACATCCACTTCTAGTGCTAAACCTAAGGAGATGGGATAGTTGATTGTGTGAGCTTCCTAGCTTCCATAGCGCCTACCTTTCGTAACAACTAAACGAACTACTTAATTAAGGCATAGCAGGTAGGCATCAAACCCGATGATACTCTGATTTAGCGTTTCGATGCTGCTGTCAATCTTACATCACCCGCTGTATCCGGTACTACCGGAATGCTTTGGTGATACAGCCCATGAGCTGTCTCAGATGTAAACAAAAAAATCGTGACAATTCATGAGATCAATAAAACGGTTCTACCCTAAATTAGGTGGCTTCCCACGAAGGAACAGGAAGACAATTCAGTCTGAAAACGGAGTACTTGGTGGTGACTCAGTGCTGAGCAAGACTATCGCAGCTTCTACTCGCGCGCTTCTGATGATATCAACCGTCTTGAAGTTTCGAAGACTTGCCACCTCGGTTATCCAGATGTAAAGTTGCCAGTGTGGAACAAACATCTGACTGTCAGTTGCACGTGAGTCCAACTGAGTGGGCCACATTTTCAAATGAATGTGGCGTGGTCAGATGATGATTCGCCCGGAAGTGGTTTCATTAGAAGACTATGATGGCCCACTAGTCACACGCAGTCAGAAGATGGGACAACGTTATGGACAACGTTTTGAAAAGTACCCAGTAGCAAGATGGACACATTGATCCTGCTGTTCGTCACGCCACTCAGGCGCAGCTCATTATCGCCGGCCTCAAGGAATTCAACTGTTCAATCAGGTGAAAAACGCTTGGAGACGATTGAGTAGACATCATAAACGAGAGATTCAATTGAGTCTCCCATGAAAACCAAATTGATTTGAAAATGAGTGTATTTCTCGAAAACAGTGCAATTTGGGTTCAAGTAGATCATAAGGTTGACGGAAACTCGGGGACTGCGCCTACCTGATGAGCCCGAATTTGAAGGGCGAAACCGGTCGTGGGCTCTCAATTAGTTATCACCAAATATGTGATAAGTTTCCTTGATGAAAATAAACTTCGATGTCTCGAATGTCCAGCCAAATGAATCATGAGGCGGCCTGTGTGCAGCACATTCAACTGGAGGACACCATAAACGAGAGATTCAATTGAGCCTCCCGTGAAAAACAAATTGATTTGCAATTGTATCCAAGTATTTATTTTTTCACCAAAAAGCCTACGTTTCTTGGAACTGATGGGAGCTTTTGACAAGGGAGCACACAGTTGATATAATATATTACTAATCGCCCGGAAGAAGTAAGTACAGTCTACAAGACGACTTTCGTTCTCGAGTGTTTCGTGGGTGGGATGGACCAGCAATCCGAGAGGAGTCACGTTCGAACCTAAAGGTTCCCAACCCTCATCCATCAAATAAAAAATGACTCCATTTATCTTCGGAAAGCGACGTGCTTCCTGCCAATGACGTAAGTATGGCTGTTGACACGATTCTGTTTGCCGTAAACTCATGGATCTCGATGAAGAACAGAGAGCCACAATTGTCACCTGCTGACAGGTGACGCAGTCGATCCAATGCGTTATTTTATTGTGCAAATAGAATGTATCGAAAATGGGATCATTTAGCTGTAGTACCCTTTCGATTCCTAACTGTCATGACACCCGGAGGAAGCACGAGGGCTGGGATACTGTCCAAACCCAGACAGGGGAAGTCGAGAGGTAGAAGTCGGGTTCGAACCACGGACCTTGAGATCAGTAAATTCGCGCTCTTACTACTGAGCCATCTCCCCCACAAAATAGTGCTCGGAAGGTGTTTCTGTCTTTATAGTCTTAACGGTTTTTGGAACAGAATGATAAGGCTTTTATTGAGACGACAAACCTTTTCACAAAAAACGTTTGTGTACGCCTACAAGGTTTCATCTGATTCGGGTGATCCAACAGGCGTAGGAATCATGAGTGGCTTTTGTGAACATCGATTTTTTTGAGGAGGAAAGGGTGGGAGCAAGGTAGGCCTGTTGATCTACTCAACAAAGGGTTAGAGCGTCGGAAACCGCTACGGTGAACAGATGCTCTGGGGTTGAGTGCATGTATCAGTGGAGTGATAAAAATCGACGCTGAATCTATGGAGCTGTCGGGGATGTCAGTATCCCCCAAAACCGTTTATTTTTCGAGTTATTGCCAATTTGTTTTTCTGAAATTTTGAATTTCGCGCCTTTTCCGCCGTGTTCCACCTTAGTCCAAAAAAACCGCACCCCTTTCCTATTGGCCAGTTGGACTTTGTGTGCACTGTGTATTATTCTCCAGGGTTTCTCAACCTTTACATATTCGACGATGCTCCCGCTGTAATTCGCCTTTCGTTGAGGCAGCTGTAACTCTCCTTTGAACGTCCAGCCCTCTTATCTCCCTGCGCAAAGGGTGTTTGAACTCAGTTCACAGTTGGGTATTGTACGTTCATACTCAAGTTGCCTATGTTCGTCGATCGTACCCATTCAGCTGCATAACACATCCAGCCACCGGCCACTCGGGATTTGAAGGTCTTGTCTGCTTCTCGCTGCGTTAGGAGTGGTTGGGCTCGGATCATAGCTGGGGATTTGTGCGCTCGTTCTCAGGTCGTGTATAGCCGTTGATCGTACCCGCTTCCATACATAACAGGAGCCACAGACAGAGAGGGCTGCATTGTGACGGTTAGTGATTAGATTTGGGGCTGATAACTGGGGGAGGCTAGCCGCTGAAACTAAGCTGCGCGGGCGAATGCTACGTTCCAGTTGCCCAGGCCGAAGGTGGGTATGGCTGAGGTACACCCTATAGCCTTTGACTCAAAAGTCTGATCCACAAGACAGAGGGGGGACGTGCTTTGTTCCAGGACATTGCACGTAGCCTGAAACTCAAGCCTGGTTTCGCAAGACAATTCCGAGCTTTCTTCGGAAACCCTGCCGGAAGCCAATGACTCACTCGAATGCAGGGGACTCGTATAGCATGAGAAACGAATTTTCAGCGATCATTAGAGCACTTAAACTTGAAAATCACATCAAGTGACCGCTATTAGTCATGATTTTCAGAAAATGAGCATGTGAAGATGTCATCGGACGCGTTTTTGCCAGAGAGTGATGGTGAATGTGGCGCCGCCCGGTGTTTGCGGCGAAGATCTGACTAAGAATCGCAATGGTTTCTTTGACCCAGAGTTTTGGGAATAATGAAGTTGACAAACTTATCATGCTTGACAGTGCGAAATTCACGAACTGGGAGTCCGACCTTCCAAGCACCGTTGTCGCAGGATAGCAGCACACAGTCACAAATTTTTGCCCCTGTTTGTTCCTCTTCTGGAATACGATCGAATACTGTAAAACTCGGGTTCCATAGAATCACCAGTCTCGTTTTCGAAGAAACAAGCGATGTCCAACGCTACGTATTGATGGCCCTGACAGCTACGTCTTACTTAGACCGTTTACTAGGCGTAGAGGGCATACCAATTCATTGGATCGTCTTCAACAGTTCCCGATGTTGAACTTTGATCAGTAGTTAAAACATTTGCAGCCCGACTACTTGACAGCGCCGCAATGTGCCCTGACGGCTCACAACTCCCCTAGTCTCCCCGATCTGCTTCGACTCAATCCAACATAGCAATGACTGTGAGTTCAGCTGCAGCACCCTCTCGGTGCCTAACTGCCGTGCCACGAGAAGCAAGCACGAGGGCTGGGATACTGCCAGGTTGCCCAAGCCTAGACAGGAGAAGTCGAGAGGCAGAGGTCGGGTTCGAACCACGGGCCTTTCGGTCAGTAAATTCATGCTCTAACCACTTGGGCCGTCTCACCCAATGACTGTAAGTATAGAACCAGGAATGTCACAGTCATAACAAAACGTGCGGCAACGATTCCGTAGTTGGCCTCTTTATGCGTCTTCCACAACACTATATATATATATATATTCACTGTCACGGTTGGGTTTGATGCCACCGTGTGCCAGGTAGGCCGGCATAAACTACCTTCCGATAATAGTATCGTACGGAAAAAGCGAGTCGTATTATTTCAGCATCTATTCACGTGATTCATGCAAACAACTGGTGGATGGCTTATAAGAACGGCAAGCTTATCCCACTTTCACAGGTGGTTGGCCTGTCTTCGCTTGGAGTTGGCCAAAGGGAGAATCCGGGGAATAGGGAAGCGGCGTTTGTGTAGAGATGACTATTCATAATGCGTCAATAGGAAGATATTTGGTGGGGTGCATTAGGTCGAATCATTCAGCACAGTGGAGCGAGAATAAAACACCTGAATCAGTCACCGATGGACCTTGGTTTACCATTAGGGACTTGACTCGAAGACGGAGAAACTGAATAAAACGTAAAAGGTCCGGTAACTCCTACTTGGGGGAAAGTTGAGATCATATCCATGGTGAAATTGATGGAACTCGAGACGCGATGGAGTCCATCGTTGTCAATCTTTCGCGTAATATGCGGAGCACCACCATGTATATAGGGTCAAAAGTAAAATACTCGTCCAAACTGTTGTTCACAATACCGATTGGTTGCTACTGAATGCACACTTGGCGAAACACAGTAGATTACCCAGCAGACTATCCGGAGGCGAGCCGCTCTAAATATCCGAGCATCACGTCGATTGGGCGGATGTGCGCCGACCAAACGAAGACATGTCCTGATTGGTCAAAATGTGAGCCAATCAGGATTGAGAATTTTGAGCTCGAAACTTCTCACCTGTCATGGAGATTCTAGCACGAATTTGTGAAATATTTCGTGATAAGCTTGTAAATAAAGACTTTCCTTTGACTTCAGTAGAGGCTGCCTTTACCTAACATGCCTTTTGGTAGGTGGAACGGCGAGACAAAAACCTACACAGGAGCTACAGTTTGCAAGCCTCAAGAAAAACACAAGGACATCGTGTATGGCATCACGTAAGACCTATAGAAGTGAAAAGTGTGTTTGAAAATGACCTCTATTAGCCCAGGCGCCTTTTCTTGAGCATTCACTCCACTCCCACACACCAGGGAAAAAAACAAGTGAAAAGCCGACAATGTATTCGTTTTTTGTTTGTTGGTCAGAAAGAAACAAGTTGTGCTCCAAAAGGACGTATCACCAAAATAATCCAGAACTAATGTTGGCCAAACCTAAAAGAGGACTGCTCACAAAGTGAGACTATCGATCCGGAAAGTGTAGGACTAATGGAAACATTCATGAACCAGTGAGAGTCCTGCCGGGCCGGCCCGGCCAGAGAAATGCAGCACTGAGTTCTCACGTTACTTTTCACCGACTGCCTAGGCCGGGGACACGCATTAAATCGGACATAAATTCGAAGACAACGTAAGTAATACAAACAGACGGCAAAGTCTTGGAAAGACTCGCTCCCATGCCTTGATAAAGTCCACAAAAGCCAGATGTCTGCCAAATGGACCGCAGACTAGATAGTACGGGGGCAGCTCGGGGGGAATCTGAGGCTTGATATCGAGTTCGAAGCAGATTTGCCGGGTACACAATCAGGATGGGAATGCAACACGATGTGGTGACCAATGTGATAGTTACCAGAGCCGGGACTGGTTTGGTTGGAGCGATTCCACTTGATGAGGAGCGATAATGCAGATAGCGACGTTTGAGCATCTGTAACGTGGACAAGAAGAGAACGTCGATTAGAAGCAGTAATGGGTCGACGGAATAGAGCGTCAGCCAATCCTAGGGGTTTGACTTGCTTCATACCCTTCCAAGTCGGTACAGATTCGCTTCACAACTGAGAACACTGTACAGTGTGCTCGCAACTGGCCGCAATCACAGCCATGAGCAGAAAACTGAATTTAAAAAAAAACACCAGCTCATGTCAGTTTGCCAGCTATAAAGCATACATCAAGAGTACGTTCGTTCTACCTGCTGCAGTTTGGGTTATCGGAAACGGATGAGAGATAAGCAGGCGTTGGAGGCGATCGCTTAGTCGGTTAGTTCGTACTGAATCAGTTTCGTTATTCGGAGGAACAGGAAACTAGACAGCTACGCATTGAAGTCTATGACATTGATGTACGAGCGTCAATCACTGTGTCACTGACTATCGATGAGCTGATCTCTTGCTTCCCCATCCAGGGAGGCAAAAGCTGTCAACCCGACTGAGTTTACAAATTAGTCATTACCAAATCACACAACATGTACCTTTCAGCAGTTCGCAGTTTGCACAGGGTTGGCGAAAAGAACTGTGAGGCTAGCGAATATACACTCATTTGCACTCAGTTGGTTTTTCGAGAGACTCACCTGGAACCCAGCGGAATCTCTCGTTTGTGATGTTCTCAGGCAACCTTATGAGTAGTACATTATAAAGATAAACTCTGTGAGGTCCTTTGACGTGAGAAGAATGCGTAACCAGTGAAGTGTGAATAGTTGGCCCATCTCAAGGAAATTGAGGGGTAAGGGTGATTAGCTAACACAGTACGACTGGCCATATCAGCGAGAATGTTCGAAGACTAACTGGGCAGGTGCTTGGTTGTAGTAATTCGACATGTTCTACGAACCCACGTGACTGGGACCGATGGATTTTTCATCCAAAAGAGCCGTCAAGTCTGTCTACACGCTTTTCGAGCATGCGTAATACCTGATCTGGTTAGCACAATAGGTGGACCTATACCAGATTGCGCGCTCGGAGCGCACTGCGAAGCAACACTCAAATTTGAGGAAATTCGTAAACCAGGGGCGTTGATTGATATGTGATTCGAATCTCACGTGAAAAGCACTGAGAATATGGCATTTTAAGCATGCATGCGCAATGCTGTTAGGGGATCGATAGTGTGTGGCCTACATTACATCACCTAATGCATTAACAACATTTTCGAAGACCGAATCAGAATGAGGTATCAACTCCCCAAAGTCTTGAACCTAGACACTCGAGCGACACTGCGACCTCACACAAAGTAGTCGGCCCATCCATGAACGGTCCAACTAATGCCATGCCACCCGAAGGAAGCACGACGGCCGAGATATTGCCAAGTTGTCAAAGCCCAACCGGGAGCAGTGACCGAGTTTGAGTTGGATCCACGAACCTTCCGGTCAGTAAGTTCGCGCCTTAACCACTGAGCTACCTCAAACTGAGCTGGTAGGCATAGTCTTTGAAATCAACACAAGAACTAGGAACTCACATTAGAACGTGGGGGGTAGGTCGCACCAGTCAAAAAAGCAAAATAACATCAGATGAGACCCCAATGAGAGTTGAATTTACCAAGGATCGTATGAAAATAGGACAGATTAAACTACCGAAGGCATTACGTTTGTACCCGACCAAAAACTGCCACATTGACGTGGTGGTTGGGATTGAGTTCTGCAGCGATCCCGCGGGCTACATCGGCTGGAACGTCGCTTCACAAGGTGCAACTACGTCAGGAAGGCCAAAGAGGAGAAGTCAGATCAAGGGAAGCGAGACCCCGTACTACGAGTAATCGTGCTACGGGGCGATCTTGGGATAAAGTCGTCTTATCCTCTTCGACAGGAGTGTGAAGGCAGTAAGGTGTTTACCCCAGGCGACCAGTATGTCCAGTAGGGCGTAGGTATGACATCAACTTAACCGTCGAGCTTACAATGCTGCGGCGCGCTGCATACTACTGTGCAGATCAGAAACCTGGCCGTTGCGCGCTGACGTCAATGTTTGGACATCGATGCCTTCAGATCACTTCCCGAGTTTGATGGGAACACCGGATCAGTAATACTGAATTACGTCGAATTGTATGCAGAAGAAGTAACTCACCCTCGGTAGATGAACTGATCACTGTCCACAAGTTGCACTGGCTTGGCCATGTGCTCCGTACGCTAGTTGACTGACTTCCTCGAAGGGTTCTTTTCGCACAACCACGTGAAGGGTGGAAACGAGCCAAGGGAGATCAATCGATGACTTGGCAGTGAAGTATAAAGGCCACTACCAGCAAACTCAGCTGCTTGATCACTGATTTCTTCCTGGATAGCGACCACGAGACGGGACACGTCTATGGTTAGACACATTGCCAGACATAACCCAATCGCGCCCTCAATGTGGCTCGAGCATCCAACCTACTGACCTCAATGCATAGCTCCCTTCCAACCCCCCACTTAACAGCTCTTTACTTACGCACCAACTTATCAGCTCCCGTCTCCAATGCGCAGCTACCTACCCCACCTCCCGAAATCGATGAAATAATGAGACGAACGCTGGAGGGTCTTCAAAACTCTGGTGTTCAAATAGCCTGTAAAGAAAACCTTGTCGATCTGGAATATGCAGACGACATCGTTCTCATGTTCGAAGAGGCGGAGAAGGCGCAAGTATTCTTGGATGAACTGACCAAAGTCATCCCGTCCTTTGGTATGCATTTTGC